CCACAGACAAGCAAATCTCTATAACAATTCTCCATAACAAATCAAATTCTCTGCAAACCTTAAACAAATCAAAAACCCAATTTCGCAGGAAGAAAGCCAAAATCGTGTGGAGAAAACAAAATTGTCACAGGAATAACTACCGCACACTGTAGAAGGGAGGAAGAGGAAGGCAAGTAAGGCAGGAGATTAACGAGAAAGTACGAGAGAGATCGAGGGAGGCGAGAGCGAGGTAGAACCTCTATAGGGCTCGCGTCGAGGGCAGTGAGGTAAAATGCGAGAACTCAACGCGTGTCGCGGGGTCGATCATGAATCACCATTTATTAAACAATCGAAACCCCCGTTTAGATAAAAGCCATCTGAACGTGTTTAGGGCCCGCAATTTTAATCCGCCTCAAACGGGCAATATATCATTGCCTTATTATGAAAGGAAATAGATGTGTGATAAAAATATTTTTTAATCAATGTAAGCATTACATCAAATTATAAGCTATATGATGATAAAGATGGATAAAAAAATGACTTCCATCAATCATCACTTTTCGTTAATCAAGAATAGCGTGGATACAAAAATCCAGCAAGAAGCATATTAATTTATCCTAATTCTAATAAAGTGGTCACAACAAGCAAGCACAATAAAAGGTATCATATTAAAATAAAGAAAATTATGAAGATAAATAAATCATAACTAGTTCAAGTAGTATAATAGTGTGCTTGCAATCATTTCTCTTGTTGGGACAATCCATAGACCTTAGCTCACACAAGATGCCATTTTTTGCTGATGGCTGACACCACTTTTACTTGTTTGGCCAATATGGAACCTATCTAACTTCTGTAAAGGATGTGAATCCCTCAAAACATGATGCAGGCCAACAACCTCTCTGGTATGGACAATATGAAGGTTGTTCCTATCACTGGGAGCATACTAATAAAATATAGAACATAAAGGCATCACACTAATAAGAACCATGCCAAAAATTTTTGTTTTATTACAACAATTAATGAAGAGTGCCTTATCAAACTAGCCCCCATCATATATGAAATCAACGGCCTTCTACTTGATTCCAAGCTTAATTGAGTAGCCAAAAGATCATTCTCCAATAAGCAAGCATGTAGCACCTATAAAAACATTTTGTTGGTGATGCATACCTAAAAATTGGTAAAAGCTCCAATAGTTATCATAGAGCATGTCGAGCAAGTGCAAGAAAATCAAGCCTTACATAATGAAAATGTCAAATTACCCAGGACAAAAAAAGACAAAAGTCATCCAACATTAGAAACCTAAAAATGATATAAAAATGAATAAAACAATCAATCCATATCACAACTTTCTTTTTCTTACACTATCATTAACTAAAAACTACACTTAACACGAGCCCAAATTAGATAAGCCCAAATAAATAAATCCAAGGATCCAATACACATGCATGTCTAGCCTACAGTAATTCAAATTTTTCAGCATCTTGACCTGACAGAGTGATTATTTTATAACTATGCATACATAATCTCGGAATCTAATATGATTATGTAAAACAAAAAAAGTATGCTACCACAAGTACTAAATCACCAGTTTGGTTGTGCCAAATGGATAGCTTGCAAAAATATAATATATTCCTTGGAAGTAGAGCACATGATAGAAAAAAATAGTATTGATGGCTCCAAACAAAATCAACAAAATCACAATAACAATAAAGATTGACATAGCAAACCTGTTTAAACATTTTCAACAGCATTGAAGTTGTTATAAGTTGATCATAATCATTATACAACAGTAATTTAGCATGCTTAAATTTCAACAAATAGTCAAATAGTTCGATGATAACCACTAATATGGCTACACATAAAAACTACACAACAAGCCTCACTCAATTAAACCATCTTATAAATAAAATTAAATACATACAACAACAACAAGCCTTTATCCCACTAAGTGGGGTCAACTACAAGAATCCTTTTTCTCAATTGTGTCCCACTAAGTGCCATATTTTCATTTTATTCTAGTAAATTAAGATAAATTTTTATAGAAGATGTCTAAGTCTTTTTAGTTCTGCCTCTATCTTTCTTAACATAAGTCAACTAAAACATCTATTCACTTAAATAGATCATCTGATGATCAACGTTTAATGTGACCAAACGGATATATTTATTTTGCATTTTGTCTTTAAGTGAACACTCATCCACCTGAGCATTCTCATCTCAACAACAATTAATTTTCTGCTTCACTTTTGCAAGCCACCATTATGTGTCATAAGCATTGCAGTCTCGCCACCATCTTATAAAATTTACCATTAAGGGTCTGTTTGGGGCAGCTTGTGCTTTTCAGAATAAGCTGCTTATCCTGAAACGCGGCCCGCAGGCCGGCCGCGGTGGTCGACCCGCGGCCTGCGTTTAGTGTAAAAACTCAAACGCAGTTTCGGATAAGCTGAAGAAACGCGCGAACCAAACGGTACGGCACTTATAAGCTGCCCCAAACGGACCCTAAGTCTAAGCGGTGCTTTCCTCTACTTCAACCCTCCAACTTAAATTCTACTAATAACATCGCCATCTATATCAACATCACTTTAAACAATAGAACCAAGATATTTAAAATGTTCACTTGTTTTAAGGATTCGATCACTCATAGTTACAAGCCTACCACTAAATCAACAACTACTAAAATTGCATTCCATGTATTTGGTTTTACATCGACTCAAACTAAAGTCTTTAGACTCTAAAATTCACATTCATAATTCAAGTTTTTCCTGAATTCTCTCTCTAGTCTTATCCACAAGAAAAGATCTGAAATAGGAAAATACATGGTCAAGGATCCTTATGTTCAAACACAAGTAGCAGCTATTGTATACATACCTTTAATGACTTGAATATAAGTAATATCAACACATTTCTTTTTTAGAACTCTTCAAAATACTTCTATTGGAACATTAACATCAGTTTTTTATAATTAACAAAAATTATATGTAGATCCTCCTTACTCTCTTTGTACTTATCAGCTAAACCTCTCAATAAATGTATAGCTTCCATAGTAGACTTCTCTGGCATGAATCAAACTGATTTTGAGAATTTTTTGTATCACAATGTAACCTATGTTCAATTACTCTCTCCCATAACTTTAATGTATGACATATTAACTTAATTAATCTATAATTTGCACATTCTTATGCATCTCTTTTATTCTTAAAAATATAAATCAATAGACATTTTCCATAATCATCAAACATCTTTTTAGTTTTAAAAATACTAAAAGGTTTAATAAGCTAAAAAATTCCTAGATCTCCTAAGCATTTTCATATTTTTTATTGAAATATCATCATATCCTACAATCTTTCCACACTTCATTTCTTTAAAGTTCCTCAACTTCCGTTTTACTAATGCGACGATAAAAATAAAAAGCCTTGTTATTATTTATGATATTAAGATCACTAAAGTTGATCATATCTTTGTAATCTTCATTGAAAATTTTATCAAAATATTTCAACCATCTCTATTAAATCTCCTCATCTAGAAAAAATATTTTTTTGATTTTTATTTGTAATACAATTTATTTGAACTAAATATTTATTTTTTCTTATCTCTTTATTTGGCTAATTGATACATGTATCTTTCACTCTCTTTAGCATTTAATTTATCATAAAGATCACTAAGAGCATAATTGTTCTCTTTGACTCCCCTCCAATCTTTTACATCTAAACTAATTTTTATAATAAAATTTCTTACTTTTTATATTTTCATGCACATTATTATTCATTCCACTATTAACTATTTTTATTCATAAGAGTTTTTCTCTTTGATTCTTCAAACAGATCTTTTAAAACTTGTTTAATAATACCGTAACTTCATCCTATATAGTATTAACTCCTTCATGAACATTCCAAATAGTAAGATCTTGAAATTTATTTATAAAAAAAAAATTTTCTAAGCGTCCCCATCTAAGTCTATGAAAATAATTTACTGTATTTTTCTTTTCAAACCCTTCATCATAGAATCCAAAACAAATAATCGATGTTTTGCACTTAAATTTTCACTTTGAATGCCCTTAAAAATTTAAAATCCCCATGATCTATTTTCTCATAAGAAAAAGAATTATTGTATTTTATTAGATTCATTCTTAAAATTACATGTAAACGAATGTGAATATTAAACTCATATAGTAAGTTCCATGTTTAAAAGTTAAACAAAATTCCATTATGCGCAACAGCACAATCAAACATAAAAAAAAGAATTTTAGTATTTCGCTACATATCTGACATGAGAAGAAATAAGTTGACCGGTATAAAAGAAATCAGAATGTCATAACTAAACGGAATGAATGCATACATAGCAACTCAAAATAAATATAAATATGACCAATTAATACCAACATTATGTAAATTCCTGTTGAATATACTAACTAAATACTAGTAAAAGTTCCACTGACCCCAGTGAAAGACAACAAAAAGGGAAGCAGACACCTCCAACTACACTTATCAATTTTAATAGAGATCTGCTAACAGTCCCTATTATTGAGCCAAACTAAATCCAAGATGCAAAGATCAATCTTGCCAAACACAACAGATGCCATTTTAATATCTCAAAAATATTTTCAATCATATCAACTGCACAATTTACAGGGGTAAAGAATGCTATCAATAAATACAGATGCTTACAACATGCTCAATAGATGTCCAAAATTCCAAGGAAAGCATGATTGGCTCTATATAGGCAAAAGAAGGTAGATTATTGACAAAGTAACAACGCACAGGTAAAGTAAACTTAAAGTGTCTGTCTGGTAACGGATTCAGAGCAGGATTTAAGCTGGATTTAACCTAAATCTTGCCAGACGGTCATTTTGGACAAAAAAAAAAAAGCCTCGGATTTGGCCTCGGATTTGATAAATCCGGAGGATTTGATAAATCCGGATTTTACGGATTTCGGCCTTAAATCCTGGATTTGCTGAATCCCGTGAATCGGTGGATTTAGTACATGCGGGACGAACGCCTCGCGCGAAAAAGAAAACCGAAAGTTACCTTCTTCAATGGTTTCGGATAGGAGAGGAGCGGAAGCAGAAGAAAAATGGAAGTTTTGGGGTCTACGCGAGGGTTCGTGTTTGCAGAAGCCGACTCGCAGGAGCGCCAGCACTACCGACTACTGATAAAAAAAAAAAAAAAAAAAAGGCCGGTATTCATGTGTTATAATATATTATTCTCAAAATATTTTCTATATTAGGATAACAAAATATTTGAATAACACACAATAACATCTGAATAATACGAGAGGAATATTCTTTTGTGTTATCGGATAGATTTTATTTTTCTTCTATCATCGGAGAGATGTTATTCTTCATTATTCATGTGTTATTATATATTATTCTGGAAATATTTTCGGCGTTATAATAACAAAATATTTGAATGTCACACAATAACATCTAAATAATACGGGAGAAATATTCTCTTATGTTACCGCGCAGATTTTTTTTTTCTGTCGCCATCTTGTGACGTGATTTCAGTGGACTTTGAATGGTTCTCTACGTTATGAGTCCTGACAGAATAATTTTTCGACTCATAGAAGATATCTATGAATTAATTAAAAATTCATGTTTGCAGCCATCCATGAGAGTATTGGAAAGCTCTTAATAAATATTTAAGGGTTTTTACACCCCAACATCCCAAAATAATATTTTAATTACTCAAATTTTAAATATTACATTTTAATCATTTTTTTTCATTACAAACACCCTCATAACCCCACTCACCAAGATTTTGAGTGAAGATATTAGATATTTAAAATTTAGGTATTTAATATTTTATATTTAATATTGTAAAGGATTGATATGCAAAATCTTGAAATATTAAATACTCCTTAACAAAAACATCTTTCATACATTTGCTACCAAAAACCTTAACAAAAAGATTATAATCTATGTTCATTACTTCCATGAAGTTGGGTTATTTACTGCCATAAAAAAGGGATTAAATATGGATTTTACATACATAACATCTGAAACATTACTATTTACAAATTTAGCACCCTCTTTCTTCCATTTTTCAAATTCTCGCTTAAATATCAAAACTCTTGATAGACCCCGACATATATTTTTCATTTTTTATCAAAATCTCAATGCATGGTTTAATCGTGGCGTCGATATATACGTCGGTTCGGTAGTCAAAAAGTATCACTGGATGCTAGTTTTTGTAAATAGCAATATTTTAGATGCTATATGTAATTAAATTGAATTAAAGAAGATTATGAAGGGGATATTGCTCTTTAATAAGTGAAATTGAGTTTGAATGTCATATAAAATTATAAATATAAAAGTGAATTGAGAAAGAAAATGATCGCCCTCCTTCTGCAAAGATATAAGAAAGGGGTTTCTGCATGCATGATACATATCACTAAATTCACATATATTGAAATATAACACATTTAATTTTTTATTTTTTACACTTATACCCCCAAATTTTTTTAATCATATAATAAATATCTCTATTTTAACTTTTTGTTGCTTACTAGAAAATTCTCGGTGGCAGAAAAATCGTCTTACTTTGCTCATTATAATTTTCAGCGCACACACAGATAAAAATATAGGAGACAACCCAATATTTTTGCTTGGAAAAGGCCATATGAAAGGGAAAAAACTCATAGGGGTCTCACACAATCAATGCAATCCACTGGTAAATTAAAAGTGCTTAGAATCACTCTTCTCATGAATAAGGGAAAATAAGATTAGTAGTTTGTCTATAACAATCATAATTGAGCTACAAGAGCTCTAGTTGGTGATTGCAGTAGCAATAATTGGCTGCAAATATTAGAGTTGGTTAATATAATGGTTTTAGTTTCTAATAACAATTGCTGGTGGTGGTTGACGACAATCTTTGGTGGTCAGCGGTGAACTATGGTGACTAGTGGCAACTGTCGAGACTTTAAGAGTTAAACTTTAGTGGTCAGCTCACTCTCTTATCTCCCGCCCCCTTCTTCAAGTGAAGAATAAAAGTCTATTTTTTATAATTTTTTAAAGGGATGTTTGGATAAATTTGATCAATCTCCCAAAACATTAAATCAAGTCACATCAATAGTTTTTTCAATTTTTAAGTGTCTTGATGATTATAGAATTGCATTACCTCAAACTTATTGGATTCCTCTTGTCCAGATGCTCTATTTGATAAAAAAAAACATGCCAAATTTTGAGATCTTTTGACATTCTAATTGATACACCAAATCTTTGGAGCATATGTCAAGTGCTTGATACGGGCTTATCTGGATCCGAGTTTGATCACTCTCGACACCATTAGGTTCGCCTTGTCAAGACTTGTTAATTAAAATTAAAGCCTAGCTAATCATGAATTTGAATTTAGAATATTTCTTACTTAAAATGCTACGAGATTCATGCTCGATGATAAACTTTTATTGATAACACATTGCTAAAAATGGGAAAAATACATATTTTCGTACAAGTAAAATGACGTATATTGAAAAATTAAAATTTGCAAGGTAGATATGTAAAAACTGAGGAATTAAGTGGTATGCATTTCTATCTTCCTAATACAAAATCCAATACACACAGAAACAAATGTGACATTGTATGTATATTAGGCTCGGATTAATCAAGCATGACAACAAAACTGGCTCAGCTTATAAAAAGGGAATTTACCTGCAGATCACATAATATTATTTATGAATCAGTTAAATTTTGATATTTACTTAAGTAATATTTAAAATTTTAACATGACATAAAAAATACGGCTAGATTTATTTATTTCAGTAAAATATACCTTTTCATTTATTTGTTTTCATGTAATTATAACAAAAAATATTATGCAAGTAAATATCATAGTTTAGGCATTAGATATGTAAAAACATAAATATGTTTGGGTCATGTGGATAAAATATAATACATATGCTATGCAAAGAAATAAAAATAATACAATGCTCAATTTAAAATAATTATGCTGACGTTGACCTTTAATTTTTTTTTATGAAATAAATCAATATTTTGAGAAATGACATTTTCTCTTTTTTTATTTAAATATTTAATTTTATTATAAGTCAAAAGATTAATATTGGGCAATATTAGAATTTATTGAAACCCAAAATGTCATTCGGGTCGTATGACTCAGAACCAATGAACAGAGAGTTAGAGAGAGAGTTAGAGAAATAAGTGTGAGTAGGAGAAAGAGAAGAAAGAGTAATTCTTTGGGAATAGATGTAATAGTCTTTTCTGTGAAAATGACCCCCTTATTTATAGTTCATAAGGGTTATCTAGTTAATTACATTATTTTCCCTCATTTAAATGGAACGTTAACATGAATTTATAGACTATTACACATTTATATATTTGTAACCGACTTTGACATTTTTTTTACTTCGGTAACCGCTTTATATATTTATAATCGACTTCTACATATTTTGACATTGGCAACTGTTGTTGGTGTCGTTCCATATTTGCAAAATTTATTGACACTGTTTTATATTCATAATTGGCAGACTTTATCGTATGATATTCGTTCGGTCAACCAAGAGTCATTCAGCCGACCGACAAATCTTTAGCCGATTTTTCAAAGAGAATTCATCATGAAAGCTCTTTGTCCTCAGTAAGGGCTATTCCATCAGGCAGAGGTTGCATCACCGTATTCTGACAGACAGCCTTCCCTCAGTCAATAAATCTTCATAGAAGGTCGACTGGGAGTTCCGCAAAGCGATAGTTGATATTGTGAATGTATTTACATCGGTTAAGTTGTTGTCAGTCTAGGTGTGTGATTCTCTTTGGGTTAGACGAACTTTCATTCAGTCAACCCATGATTCAACTGAACTGGTTCGTCGGTTCACCCTAATTCTTATTAGTTCAATCCCGATTATGTACAAAAACAGTTTTAAGGCCTGGATCGAACCAGTGAAGCTCAAGATTGAATTGGCCGAGCGGGCATACCTAATTCAATTTTTAAAATCATGCTAAATGTCCTATTCAATCTTTTAAAGCTCATTAGATGATCGACTTGATTAAAAGAAAAAAAAAACATTCATAAATTTATTGTCTTGTTCTAGTGAAGTGGATAAAGGCGTGACAACTGCATTTGAGCTAGCAATTGGAACATCAAGTCAGCTGTCATACTTGCTTTGGATTTTAGCCCCTTCACAATCCTGGCCTCAAAAAACTATTGAGATTATTGTTTAGATGCCATGTTTGTGGTGGCTATGGCGTTTTGGCTGATCTTCTAGATTTCGAATCCTTTGTTCGTATATTAATGTATCTCAATTATTTTCTTCATTATAAATATATATAATCGATTGCCAGCTTCATTTGAGATAAGTTCTTGATGATTTTCTGATATGAAAAATAAATGGTGAGAATATGGAATGTCCATTTGGATGAAAAATTTATGTTATTTTTGTATGTTTTTTTCTAAGTTTATTTTGTAAAGATATCTTTTGAGAATTCAAAATAAAATATTGACCGTGAAAAGGAATATATGAAAAGTAAAAACAATTCAAGCACTTTTGCGAAACTAGCTTCTAATTTAGCTTCGCTCAAAGGTAATTGTGCATTGAAAATGCGTCAGCGTTGATTCTGAAGAAAACTAATGGTCTCACAGACAAAAGGACCTTATGCTCACTTATCCGACCGAATGCAGTCTTCCGAGCCAAAGCCAACAAGGCCAAAGTTGGCCGAGTCATGAGGAGGATAAAATGATGACCAAATGATCTGAGTATGAACCGTTCAGTCTAAAATGAGGAAAAAAAGATATTTCAACCAACCGCCTTGAAGAAGCAAACTCAAGGGAAGACTCAATCCCTCAACATCTCCAATCATACCCGGGATGTCTAGAAGTCTTCCCATCTAGTATTAATGGTCGACAACTGGACTAGATTTGCCAATCAATAACACCAACCAAGCCTAGTTGACCAAGTTGCTACTGTCAAAAGTTAATCAAGCTCAACCAGCTAAGCAAGATAGTAGTCGAGGGATTGAATCATACATGTAAAATAACATGAATATTCGCTGCAACCCCCGTTAAAAAAAGAAAATAAAATACAACATTATTATAATGTACACTCTCCCCTATAAATAGAGAGATCGTTCTTTGATTAAACACATACGAATTATTGTTCATTAATGTTCACTCCTCTCTCTGTTTGTCTTTCTCTTT